CCCAAGACGCAATCGCATCAGGCGAAGAAAGGAACTCGATCGCGTGGGAGACGCCTTGGACGGGATAGCGGTCTTTGGCGTAGACTCGGGCGAGGAGCGAGGTGCAGGAGGGGAGGTCGCTTGGTTGGCGGGGGCGGATGGTGATGCTGGTTGGAGGGGACATTTTTGGGTTTGGGTTTTGACTTTCGTCCCGTCGAAGCTGTCCGTTCTTTTCTTTTGAATTGGTATCTTATCTTCGGTCGTTCTTTGTTGAGTTGAGAAGGCTGGTGCGAATAATGATTGCGGCGAGAATCGAGATACGGCTTTTTTTCAGAAGCGAGAGGATTTACTGTATCGCTTGCTGCGGGTGCTGTTTTGCTGCTCTAGATCACTACATGTAGGTACCTAGCAGTAGAAATCTACAGTCACATCTATGTATTCACATGGTGAGGTAGGCATTATTACTTGTCCTCTCTCTTTTTTACACTTCCCCTTGAAACGCCTCGTAAGAGTTAACTATTTCTCGAGAATTGTTGCAACTTCTTCGTTTTGCTATTCTGAACCATTAACTTGATTGTAAAATCATCTAACAAGCATTTTCTGAGATCGAAAGCAAGACCACAAAACTGCCGCAAAACTTAACCAACCCAACTCCAAAAGCAACTCCAAAAGCAAGAAAACACAGTTAACTCCAATAAATCAATCCTTTTCGCCAATCTGACATCACGGCAACCAAGAGTAGCCAGAAAGTCAATACCTCTCCGTCACCATCTCCGCCTAGTCATCATCGACTTTCTAACCCACAAGAGCTTCAGCGGTGTCATTGTAGTAGCCAATATCGTCTGCCTGCAGCAGCGGGATCCAGGGCGAATCATTGTCATCTGTCATTTTGGTGCAAGTGATGCCGACTCTCCTGCGGTCGGTGTACTTGGGGAAGGAGGTGAGCATGCCTTCGAATTCGTTTTCCAGGTCGTGGGCCATGCTCTCGGGACCTTCGGGGCTGGCATTGGTGGGGATGAACCACTGTTTGCAAGTCACGGGTCAGATGTCAGAGGTTCTTGGGTAGAGAAAAGGAAAGGAAAGGAAAGGACAACTCACCTCCGCGTCAAACTCCTGAACGCTGTCGTGTCCAGACTCCTCCTTGAACCTGAAAGTAATCAAGTCATCGGGGTTGTTCTTCTTGGGACCGTACTTGCCGTCCACATCCGTAACACCGAACGTGGGCTTGGTGTAGACGGCCTTCTTGACGGCGGCCTCGAGCTGGTCGACGGTGATGTTCCAGTTGCGGCCGCGCACGAAGTAGTGGTCCCTCTTGCCGGAGAGCTGGAAGCGGTAGTAGCACGTGCCGGTCGGCATGCCGATCATGAGCTCGTTCATGGGATCGGGGGTGAGGTCGGATGTTGGGAGGACGGATGGTCGCTCTGTTGCCTTGGTCGTGCTGCTTTGCACTTCCGCTTCAGGAGAGGTAGGGTGCGCATTATCCAACTGCGTGGTTGGTGCCGTTTTGGTGGGCGCAGAGACAGCGCTGGTGGGAAGATTATGGCCGATGACGGGGCCTTTGATCGGGTTTGTCTGGT